GAAGCTGAGGAGAACCAGCTGATTGATCTCGAAAAAGGAATTTTGTTATCTCCGCATTCTATGACTTTGGATGTTGCTTACGAAAAAGGTTACATTCTCAGCACCGTGAAACCATGGTCGTTACAAGAAGCATTGGCTCATCAGACTTACGATCCCGAGAAAGGTACCTTCGAGATAGATGGCGTTAGTTACACCCTCGAAGATGCACTAGAGAGCGGACTAATTGCCAAGGATAGTCCTTCCGTGAAAGATCCAAGAAACAGCGAGATAATTTCTCTGGGCGAGGCTATAAAGCAAGGTCTGATCAAACCTAAAATGGGAATAGCGGTCGATCCATCGACAAATTCATTTTTGTCACTGACAGACGCCCTTGATCGTGGGCTTATAGTACCGGCGAAACGCAAGATATCTCTTCCCGAAGCAGTCTTCAAAGGACTGTACGAGCCAACAACCGGTCGTTTCATCGTCCCAGAGACTAGGGAGAAATTACCAACAGATCGTGCCATCAAGGTTGGTGCCATCGATCCCAGCACAGCGGTAGTGGTACGCCAACCACATGGAAAGGCAATTACCTTCAGCAAAGCTATCAAGGAATTGATAGTGGATCCAAAGACCGGCACTGTGACCGACGAGAATGGTAAACCCATAGATTTCCATGAAGCACTGGAACATGGACTGCTTTTGGAAGCTCGACGACCAATGACATTCAGCGAGGCCATTTATAAAGGAATTTTGGATGAAAGGACGAATATGTTCTTGGATCCTCAAACAGGTATTTACTTGACTCTCATAGAGGCTATTCAGAGAAATTTAATAGATGCAGATTCCGTGACCGTGAAGGATGGAAGGAGTGGTTTCTGGGATACGATATCTCTCAAAGAAGCAATCAGAAGCGGATATATCGATGGTACTTCCGGCATAGTAAATATCACCGCAGGTTCGACCATGTCCTTGCAAGAAGCCTTCGAAGCTGACCTAATCGTGGACGACAGAGAAGCTGTATCTTTACAGAGAGCTATTCATCAAGGCCGATACGACGAGCAAACTGGAAAGATAACTTTACACGAAGCAATGAGGAACTGCTTAATCAGTCCCACTCTAGCATGTTATTGGGACAGAAGGGCAGGCAGGTTGCTATCATTGGCAGAAACTTGTCGGGCTGGAGTGATAGACAGGCGAACCGGAATGTTCAAAGAACCTGGAGCAAACAGGACAGTGTCTTTAACCCTAGCCTTGCACTTGGGATTAATCGTTGACATTGTAACTGCATATTTCAGCCTGCATGAAACGATCATGATGAATATGTACGACCCTGTCACCGGGAAATTCACTAATCCGTTAACCAACCAGAAACTCACGCTTGCTGACGCTTGCAGGACGGAATTAATCGATCCTCTTTCATTCATTGTCCGAGACACTCGATCCGACAAGTACGTATCGCTGTCCGAAGCAGTTTCTTCCGGTGTTATCGACGACATCCACGGCACCTACATCGCCTTGCCAGCAAACGAGAAACCAATCGATTTACGCGAAGCTCTGAAGAGAGGTTACATCGTGTCCTCGAGATTACCGCTTAGCATCGAGGAAGCAGTCACTTGCGACCTATACAGAAGCGAAACTGGGGTCTTCGTGGATCCTCGAACCAACGAAAGTCACGATCTAAGTCGAGCATTCGAGGTGGGTCTCCTGGATCCGAATACAACTGCGCTGAAAGATGTAACGACAGGTCAGATAACGTCTCTTGCGTTGGGCATAGAAAATGGTTCAATCGACGTGCCTCACGGTCGAATCTTAGATTCCAAAACGAAACGTGCTTACCCCATCGACGTGGCCCTAGAACGAGGTCTCCTCGTGACTCTGGAGAAACCACTGACGCATCAACCCGCTCGTCGAAGTCTCGTTCGCAAAGACGAACCTACCCGACAGGAATGTACCATTCAAGAAGCGATTGACAGAAACCTTCTCGATCCTAACACAGCCGTAATCAGGCACCCGTAGAGCGGTCGATTCGTCACGATCAGTAACGTCCTGGCAGACGGAATCCTCGATCCATCTAGTCGTGGGACGTTCGAGTCTGACTCGACCCGGACGTCCGATGGCAAACTGGTGCCAAGGTTTGTCCGTTTCGGAGAGGTCGAGGTGTACTTCGTGCAGCCTCTGAGCTTCGAGGAAGCTACGGAGAAGGGTCATTTGTCAGTGGAGAGCGGGAAACTGATAGATCCGAAGACTGGTGAACAGGTGACGCTGAAAGAAGCGGTCAGTCTCGGAATCGTGGACTCCGACTCGGCGTTGATCAAAGACACGGAGAAGAAGAAATTAGTGAAATTAGCAGAGGCGTTCAGGAAAGGTCTGATGGACGCGGAGAAGGGGAACGTTTTGGAAACGGAAACATCGCGATTGTATCCGTTGTCGAAGGCAGTAGAGGCGGAGTTATTGATTACGCCTAAACGGGGTCTCTCTTTCATCGAAACGTTGGAGTTCGGACTTTACGACGCGACTTCCGGTAGATTCCACGACCCGTTCCGGGTCGCGTCCGCGCTAGATCGAATACCCGTGACGTTGAAGGAGGCGATCGACTCGGGCTCGATAGATCCGTCGAGTACAGTGATCAAAGAACCCGGGACCGGTAAAATCGTTAGTTTCTTAGAGGCTATAAATACCGAGATAGTAAATCCCATAGCGGGCAGGCTTATCGAAGATCCATCGGGAAAGAGCCTTGACTTCGCGAAAGCCCTGGAGCAGGGTTATATTCTCACCGCAGAAGCTAGGGTAAGTGGCACTCTTTCTTGCTTCTTCTTCTTCTACTTCTACCTCTGTTTCTTACTATACACTTCTTCGTTCCTTTCGCGACGTCTTATCCTCTTTATCGAGCTGTCCCTCCCTCGCTTTCGTTTCTTCTCTATTTTCCTTTACGCTCGTGTATCTTCTTCGTTTCCCTGTCTTTTCTCTTCTTTTTTCTCTCTTTTTTTTCTCCCGAATTTTTGTTCATGTATCTTTTTGTTTTTACGTTTCTTTTTTTTTTTTCTTTTATTTTTATTATTATTTTTCTGAATTTTTTAACTCTACTTTTTAACCGCTTGCCAAAGGTTATGGATCGTTACGTATTGTACGCTTCGATGCATCCTGTCGTCTATCGCTCTACGTGTGCGACGATAGCCGACTACAATAATCTCGCGAACTCACTCTCTGTGTCACGAACTCACTCACTATCGACGATCTTGTCGGTAGCAACAAACTGTACAGCAGCGGCAGTCGTTAACAGCAACACCAACATCTCTACCCGGCATCAGAAACACACATCCTGCATGGTGCCCCTAAGAAAAAGAGCGTGCCACGATATCCGATAAGTTGAACCTCGTGTTTAACGAGTCGTCCCGTGTCGGCCAGCATGTCGCGGATTGTCTGGCATGGGATCGGTAACGAAGCCAGCGGTCGCTGATAATAACGAGAAGTAAAGGGAAACGTGGACAACTGATCTCTCGATAATATCGTTACGTCCGTTTCACGTGGGGCGCTCCTCCTTCAATTATCCCGATCGCTCACACTCGCATTATTCATCAGGACGCACGTCGGTCACTGTCTTTCACGTAACAGGGGGCTAATGTCATACTAATCAGCGGTGCGCGGTCACCGATTAAAAATAAAGTATAATAAGTAAAGAAACGAGACGAAGAAAAGTGGTAACAATTATGATAATACAGTTTAATGTCATCGATCTATCGTGTCGCCTGATCGCATCGGCAATGCTAACTCGATCATCGATCTCTAATCGTTTAACGTCTATTAATTGTAATTTGCACGTTGGTTAACCGACATTTCACGTTTTCCTTTCGGGTTCTGGTTACACGTTTCCATTTCGCGATCGTTCGATTGCCTCATACGATAAATGGAGATTACACGGGCAAAAGGAAAGCGTGAAACGACAATGGGAACCACATTAACGCGTGTCGTGACATCGAAACGACCTGTATCACCATGATATTAACGATCAAACAAATCGACAGCGACTAGTCGTTCTCTCAATGCGTAGCCACGTGTTACGTGTGATCGCATGCTTAACAGGTTATCATCGATCGCACATCTACCCCGCATATATCAGTACAGTTTCCTGCCACCCCCCACTTAATCACCGAGTAACGAACGTACCCCCTTATTTTTTTTTTTTCAATTTTGATATTTTCAACGATGCTCCTATTGTTTAATTCAGATTAATTCGGATTATTTACACTGAAGTTTTCCTTTTTTTCAGGTATTATTGCGTTCAGTTTATAAGCTCGATCCTGTTTTCTTTCTAGCACGAGTTTGCGGGAAAGCTCTGAGCACGTAGCATAGTCCAACAAACGCAAATATATATATGCATATATACATTTACATATATATATATATGTATGTATATACGTCTATGCATTTACGATAGACCATGAATAATAAATTATGATCCGTATCGTAAGCGCGTATCCCCCATCCCGTATCATTTCGTATTCACTTCGTTATCATTTCCTCGCGCGATTATCGTCTTTTCAGTTTTTAATTTTGCTTGTTGACGCGTCTTATTGAGACGAGAACGCGGCTTCCGTATCTGTCCTGTCGTTCGCTTGAGACTGCATAGAAAAAACCACGTACGGGAAAAAATATGCAGTTCGATTACTCGCTGCAGATCAATCAGATCTCTTGGTTCTTCTAAACAACTGTGTTTTTTATACAAGTTTCTTTTTTTTTTTCTTTTTTTTTCCATTTTAATACTTATATAACGTGTTACGTTTTACGTTCCAAGTGTGTGTATGTGTTTGCATGCGTGAGATACGTTTTTAAGCTTACCATGTTCTGTTTTTTTGACTGACATTTGTTCCTTACAGACTCACCGCTATTGGTAAGAGTGCGGTTTCCTATTAATAGTTTTTACCCGTTAAGACAGCACGTTAGATAAGTTATTAAAGCGCGAATTGTCTGGCTACGATACGTACCAAATTGCACGTTTTCTCTGTTGCAAACCACTATAGCAAGCGGTCGAGGAGAAGTACAAGTTGTGCGACGAAACGTCCTCGAAGTTGCTTCAATGGATATCCGAGGTGGAAGATAAATTAGCCAACCAGGACAATGTGAAAGAAGACGTCGATGAACTTCGGAATCAAATAAATGCTATGAAAGTGAGTGTCATACCGATTTTCACTGTTTGTAAATAAAGCTGTGTACTAACTGTTCGTTCGAATAATATTCGCAGGAGATTAAGGAGGATTTGGAAGCTCACTCGCGTCCAGTTTCCTCTTGTCTCGATCAGATTCGTCAGGTAGTTTTGACTGGTAGCAACGTACTGTCCAGCGAGGAAGTGTCTACCCTAGAGAGGAATGGTCGATCCTTGAAGACCAGGTTCGACAGAGCCTCCGATCGTACTGAAAGAATGGTCAAGCGATTGATCGCTGCCAGAGATGATTTGGTCAAATTTAAGTTAGTGTCGTGAAAAGAAAGCTTTTGGCTCTTTGAAACGTGTTCAATTGTTTATTGTACGACAATTTATTTTCCGTAGGAACGAGCTGTCGACATTCTCCCATTGGTTGGATAACGCTAGAAGAGTTCTGGAAGAAAAGGAACATTCCTTGTCAGATCTGAATAGACTAAACAGTAGTACAGATTCCACGCGAGATTTTATCAGCGATGTCATAGCACACCAAGCAGACCTCCGATTCATTACGATGGTTGCCCAGAAATTCGTGGATGAAAGCAAGGAGTTCCTTCACGTCCTGAACGAGTTCCGAACCAGTTTGCCACAGAGATTGTCTCATAAGGAACCCATAGCCAGTCAGGATTCCCCTGTACGTGGCGAGGTTTCCCTGGTTACAGCTCAGTACAAAGATTTACTGTCACGGGCTAATTTATTATCTGACAAGCTGTCTGGTGTTGGTGGAAGGCAAAGGGACCATCGCGAATCACTTGAGAAAGCTAAGAATTGGCTGGAGGAAGTCGAACCAAAGATCCATAAAGCTATTTCAGAATCGATTGCAGCTGAGCCTAAGCAAATAGAAGATCAGTTGAGCAAGGCGAAAGCATTGAACAACGAGATGTTAGCTAATGAACGGCTGATTGAAAACGTGAAGATTACTTTTAAAGCTCTTCTGGTATCTCTCGATGGACAATTAACACCAAAAGAGGAGCTCGAATTGGGAGAACCGGTTATAGCTTTGGAAACTAAATATAGAGAGCTAACTAGTGCAATCGTTGAGTATTGTCAGGAATTGGACACGGCATTAGTTCAAAGTCAGGGAGTACAAGATACGTTGGATACTTTGGTACTTTGGTTGAACAACTTTGAAAGTCAATTCAAGTAAGTAATGATACTTTAAAATCTACCATTAACGTAGTAATACTTTGTAAGTAAACGCGATTCTTTTGTAAACAGGAATATAGAGAGACCAGTTAGTTTGCATAAGGAACGTCTGGAAGAACAGCAAAGGGAACAACGTTTACTTCAAGCTGATTTGGATAGCCATCATTTTACCATAGATACAGTAGCATTCGGTACTCGTAACCTATCAATGAATCCCAGTAATGCAAGAATTGCCAAACGTATAGACGACAAGCTGGAAGATGTCATGTCTAGATATGAGAAACTGCTGGCTAAATCTTTGCGGCGGGGTGAATTCCTTAGTGAAATCGCTCAAGCCCTTAGTGACTTTTTGGTCGAAGCCACTAAGTTCGACAGCTGGTATGCACACATGATCGAATCATTAGAATCAAGAGATTTGAGTAAACTTGACGTTGCCGAGTATGAAACCAAAATGACCAATTTGGTGGACAAACGTGAAAATCAACGTGCCAATTTCGAAAACTTGATTCGTAATGGAAAGAGCTTGATCTCGAAGAAAGATGTCACAGATGTCGCTCCTATTAGAGATAAGATCAAGGCGTTAGAATCACAATGGAAAGAAGTGAATAATTTGATCGATGAGAAACAACGACTCAGTCAATCTAGAGCTAAACAACTGTCTGCTTATGAAAAATTACGCGATCAAGTAATTGATTGGCTAACGCGCACTGAGAGCAAAGTACAAGGTCTCGAGCCTGTAGCTGTCGACTTGGAGAAACTGAAAAAGCAAGCTGACGAATTGAAACCAATACAAAAAGAGTATCGTGATTACGGCAATACCGTTGATAAAGTGAACGACCTTGGAATAGCTTACGATGGCTTGCTAAAAGAACGTACAGAAAGTCCAACTCGTCGTCGCGGCAGTACCAGTCCGACTAAGAGACCAGGTACATACCAGTTATTCCAAACTCCTAATCCTTCTGATCAATATTATCGAATCGTCATTGCTTAACAACGTTTTCCTAAATGACACACATCTTTCCATTCTTTCGCGATCATTACTAATTTTTCACAACTGACGATTCGTCTCCATTTTTACTGAACTCACACGATTTTTTCTTTTTTTTTTTTTCAATTTTTTTTTGTAGTACGACGAATGTCACAAGACGGTCGCTCACCATCTCCTGCTAAATTGTATGCTGCTCAAAGTCCGGTCTCTCCAGGTGGTAGCAGCGGCTTCAGCAGCCGACGCTCCAGCCAAGATGGTTTCCACCTGGAAGACTTGTCACCAGTTCAGCAACAGCTTTCAGAGATCAATAATAGATACGGACTATTGGGCGTACGTTTAACTGATCGTCAAACAGAACTGGATAGTGTCAAGGATGAATTAAGAAGACATATGGATAATTTGAAGACACTCTCTTTGTTCCTGGAGAAGGTAATGTATTTCTTTCAGGATAAAAGCTGTAATTCAAGAAGTTAAGATTTAATCGGAAATATTGTTTGTTTATTGCAGATTCAACGACAGATTCCGAAAGAGACTATGCCAAATACGAAAGAAGAAGCAGATAAGACGGCGAAACAAATCAAGGTTGTGATTGAAGAAATGTATGAGAAACAATCCTTACTTGACACCACTAGAACACAAGTACGTGATTTGGTTAGACGTAAAAAGGGAGCAGATGGTGTAGATAGATTGAACGACGAAATGGAAGACGTAATTAGTCGATGGAGATCGTTTAGCGAACGTTGCAAGGATAGAATAAAGTTCCTGGATGATGTGAAAGACTTCTGCGATACATCAGAGGGGCTTGCGTCATGGCTAGGTTCGAAAGAAAGAATGTTGAGTGCGTTGGGTCCAATTTCAGCGGATCCTAGAATGGTTGCCAGTCAAGTGCAACAGGTTCAAGTTTTGAGAGAAGAATTCCGCACTCAACAACCCCAATTGGACCACTTGATTCAAGTTGGAGAGAGTATCTTAGGAGTAATAGGACGTGATTCACCTGATGGGCAAAGAACTAGTGCCAAATATCTTTCTATTTTAGATAAGTGGTCTGATCAATTAGCTCGTTTAGATGAGAGAGCACAAAGTTTGGGCGATGCGGTTGACACCAGTCGGGAATTCGATGCAAGTGTAAATCGTTTACGCGATGCTTTGCAAGCAATCTCGGACAATCTCGATGAATTGACCCTTGAAAAGGATCCTGAAGATCAATTGCGCAAGATAGAAAACCTGGAAAGGCAATTGGAAGGACAAAGACCTTTATTAGCTGATGCCGAAGCAGCTGCAGATCAATTGTGCGAGGTTTTGAGCGATCCTGCTTCTAAATCTGAGATCCATGGCAAACTAAACGTAGTTGGAAAGTTGTATCATAATTTACAGAGGAAATTAGATCATAAGAAAGCCGAGATAGAGGGCAATTTGCGAGATGGACGGCAGTTCGAAGCATCTTGTACTAAGACATTGGGTTGGCTTGCTGACGAACTTGGAAATATGTCCGAGAAGTTGCTGGTATCCGCTGATAGAGATATTTTGCAACAACAACTGGATCATCATGAGCCAATATATAGAAACGTAATGGGTAAAGAACACGAAGTCATCATGCTGTTGAATAAGGGACGAGATATGATAACACGATCACAAAAGATTGAGAATCGATCTCTTCAACGTGATTTGGATAAAATGCAATCACAGTGGGATCGTCTAAAGAAAGATATGCTCGATAGACACACCAAACTGCAGACTTGTGCAGAACATTGCAAAAAGTATTACAAAGCCCAAGACGCATTCCTACCATGGCTCCGACAAGCTGAAGACAGGCTGGAATGTTTGAAACCGGCTTCCTTCAAACGTAAGGATATTGAGAAACAATTGAAAGAATTATCTTCGTTCAGGAACGAGGTCTGGAAACACTCGGGAGAATTTGAGAATAACAAGACGCTTGGTGAGACCTTCCTCGGAGCTTGTGATATTGATAAACAGAACGTAAAGAACGAGCTTGGTGCTATGAAAACCAGATGGGACAAGTTGAATAATGGTAACATTAATTGACTATTTTTCTATTTGTTCTTTTTTTTTTTTTTTTTTTTTTTTTTTTTTTTTTTTTTCATTAGACTAATGTAATTGAATTAATTGGTATTATAGATTTAATAGCAAGAACTCAGTCTTTGGAAGACACTGCAAGACATTTGATGGACTTTAATGAAAATCTGCGAGAATTGCGACACGGCTTGCAGCGGTGCGAGGACAAATTGGCATCTCACCACGCTCTTGGTGGAGCTGCTAAAGACCCGAAGCTTCTCGATAGGATAAAGGTAAATAAATTGTTACAAAGATATTAAGTACTCGATACTTAAAGTGTACATAATGTTATTCTCTTACAGAGTTTACGAGAAGAAACGGCGAACCTAAAGAAACCTCTTCAATGCGTAAAACAACAGGCCAATGATTTGGTGAATACAGCTGGCGAACAAGGAGTAGATGCAACGCATTTGCAAGATGAAGTAGATAATCTAACGGATCGAATCAATGACCTGCAAGCAAAATTGGACGATAGATGTAACGAACTACAAAGTGCAGCTACTGCAGTTGCACAATTCAACGATCATGTCAAAACTATTGGTCAACAAATCTCCAGTCTTGAAAGGGAATTAGACTCTATGAGGGCACCTGGCAGAGAGATTAAGATCGTACGATCGCAAATAGAAGAAACAAGTAAAGTGATGACTAAAGTAAATCGACTCTATGAGGAAGTTTCCAACTTGGACAATCTTGGAGAACGTCTGATTGATTATGGTTTTGCGGCTGACGCTGTGGCAACTAGAGAACAGGTCGCTGGACTGAAACGACAGGTTGGAAAGCTTGATGACCGATCGAGAGATCGTCATGATGAACTTACATCTACTCTGGACAAATTGCAAGAGTTCTATCAAGCGCACACCAGTGTTATGAGTGAAATTGATGAAGCTAATAGTCATGTTAGGAAGTTTAAACCAGTGGGATCGGAAGTTGAATCTATAAAAGCGCAACAAGAAGATTTTAGGCTACTGAAATTGAATAAGATAGAACCACTAGCTCGTGCTGTTGAAGATTGCAACTTACTTGGTCAGTCATTAATTCAAACTGCCGGTCGTGACGTTAACACCGGAAATATTGAGAAGGATGTTGATAAAATGAACGAGAGATGGAACGATCTGAAGGATAGATTGAATGAGCGAGATCGAAGGTTAGATGTAGGACTTCTTCAATCTGGAAAGTTCCAGGAGGCTCTAGAGGGTCTCCAGAAATGGCTGACGGATACGGAGGAAATGGTATCCAATCAGAAGTCTCCATCATCGGACTATAAGGTAGTCAAGGCACAATTACAAGAACAGAAATTCCTGAAAAAGATGTTGATGGACCGACAGAATTCGATGTCATCTTTGTACAATATGGGCCAAGAAGTGGCGGCTGGAGCAGATCCTAAGGAACGAAAAATGATTGAAAGACAACTAAAGGAGCTAGTGGGAAGATTTGATAATCTGACTGAAAGTGCTGCTGAAAGAATGGAAGCTCTCGAACAAGCTATGGGAGTGGCGAAACTATTCCAAGATAAGCTGGTACCACTTGCAATTTGGTTAGACAAGACTGAGAAACGCGTTAGAGACATGGAACTGGTTCCAACAGACGAAGAGAAGATTCAACAGCGTGTTACAGAACATGATGCCCTACACGAAGACATTCTATCCAGGAAACCCGATTTCAGTGAACTTACGGAGATTGCTAGTCAATTGATGGCTCTAGTAGGCGAAGATGAAGCTGCTACATTGGCTGACAAACTACAAGACGCAGCTGAAAGATACGCTGCTTTGGTTGAACGATCAGAAGCACTTGGTAGCTTGCTTCAACGATCGAGACAGGGCTTACGTCATCTAGTCCTCAGTTACCAAGAACTTCAAGCATGGATGGAGGGCATGGAGATCAGATTGTCCAAGTATAGAGTCCTAGCAGTGCATACAGAAAAGCTTCTCCAACAAATGGAAGATCTCGCTGACTTAACAGAAGAAGTTTCAACTCGGCAGACAGAAGTAGACAGTACTACTGATGCTGGGTTGGAATTGATGAAGCATATCTCAAGCGACGAAGCGCTACAGCTAAAAGACAAACTCGATTCCTTGCAACGACGTTTCAATGATTTGGTTAGTCGAGGTTCTGATTTACTGAAACATGCACAAGAGTCTTTGCCACTGGTTCAACAGTTCCACGATAACCACAACCGTCTAATGGATTGGATGCAGGCCGCGGAATCGGCTTTGCAATCGGCTGAACCTCGCGAAGACGAAATTGTTCGATTGGAAATGGAGATATCAGAATACAGGCCGGTTCTAGACAAAATCAACGCTGTTGGACCACAGTTGTCTCAACTATCACCAGGCGAAGGCGCTGCAACTATCGAAGGTCTAGTCACTAGGGACAATAGAAGATTCGATGCCATTGCTGAACAAATTCAACGAAAGGCAGAAAGAATTCAACTGAGCAAACAACGCTCACTGGAGGTGATTGGAGACATCGACGATCTATTAGAATGGTTCCGTGAAGTGGACACTCAATTACGAGAAGCGGAACCACCGAGCAGTGAACCGGAAATCATCAGGGTACAGTTGAAGGAGCATAAAGCATTGAACGATGACATATCCAGTCAGAAGGGACGCGTCAGAGACGTGATATCCACAGCAAAGAAGGTGATTCGCGAGAATGGCCAACACGAAGACACATCGACGATCAGAGAAAAGATGGAAGACCTACGAGAAACGATGGAGATCGTTTCCGGCCTCTCAGCGGATAGACTCGGCGCACTGGAACAAGCTTTGCCATTGGCTGAACATCTACGCGATACGCACGTTGGTTTAGTCAGTTGGCTAGAAGAAGCAGAACAACAAGTCGCAATGCTTCCTATGCCCGCATTAAGACCTGACCTAATAGCCGTCCAACAAGATAAGAACGAACTTCTCATGCAGAGCATCAATGAGCACAAACCTCTGGTAGAAAAACTGAACAAGACTGGTGAAGCTTTACTCAAACTCTGCAACGAGGAAGAAGGTATCAAGATACAAGACATCCTTGAAGCAGACACTGCTCGATACACCGCCCTTAGAGCAGAACTCCGAAGTCGACAGCAGACCCTCGAGCAAGCACTCCAAGAATCCTCCCAGTTCTCCGACAAATTGGAGGGAATGCTGCGTGCTCTTTCATCCACTGCCGATCAAGTCAATGACGCCGAACCGGTCAGCGCCCATCCTGGTCGTTTGAGGGATCAGATGGAAGAGAACTCTGCCTTGGTCGATGAATTGGCTCAGAGATCCGAAGCCTACGCAGCTGTGAAGAGGGCTGCCGATGACGTGATCAGTAAAGCGGGTAACAGAGCTGATCCAGCCGTGAAAGACATTAAACGAAAATTAGACAAACTGAACAAACTATGGAGCGACGTGCAAAAATCGACCACCGACCGAAGCCACACGCTCGACGATGCTTTGACGATCGCCGAGAAATTCTGGTCCGAATTGAATGGCGTGATGACGACTTTGCGAGAGCTTCAAGATGCTCTTGCAGGTCAGGCACCGCCAGCGGCACAACCTGCTGCCATTCAGCAGCAACAAGTTGCGCTGCAGGAGATCAGGCACGAGATCGATCAGACAAAACCGGACGTCGAGCAGGTTCGTGCTTCCGGACACGAGTTGATGGGTCTTTGCGGTGAACCGGACAAACCAGAAGTTAGGAAGCATATCGAGGATTTGGATCAAGCTTGGGACAACGTGACTGCTCTGTACGCCAGACGGGAGGAGAACCTGATCGACGCTATGGAGAAGGCCATGGAGTTCCACGAGACCTTGCAGAATCTCCTGGAGTTCTTGCAAGAAGCTGAGGAGAAGTTCGCTCGCATGGGACCGCTAGGCAGCGACATCGACGAAGTTAAGAAACAGATCAAACAATTGGCCAATTTCAAAGCAGAAGTAGATCCTCACATGGTCAAGGTCGAAGCTCTGAACAGGTAACCAACCACGTTTCTTTCTTCTGTCACTGGTCTCCCCTTTGCGATTTTGTTGGATTCACGCGTGATCTCACGGATGTCTCTGTATCGCGAATTCCTCGTGAAAACGTTGATCCACCGAGATTTACTGTTTCATTCGTCTACTGTACTAGTTGTCTGTTAATCATCGCGTTACCCTGCCACGCGGTTTATCATTTGTACAATAACGCAAGAAAGCCTCTCTAGATGTAAACAGCGAGATTCTAATCCCAACTTTTGTTTTTCCGCGCCGGTTCCTGAACGCATAGGAGTCTGACAAGGCAAGTCAACCTCTCTCTGTGTTGTAGCAGTAGTTAGAGCATGGCTTATACTCTACATTTTATATATTATATCGCGATTACACCTTCGAGTATGTAATAGATCCAGGTTACCCGAATGGCCCTGCCCTTATAGTCCATTTAATCTCGTAATATTTACTTAACATTGTCGTAATTACCAAGCTGAGGTCGAATGATTGAAATCCCCTAACTCTGTCTGTTGGTTGGAGTTCGAGCAGTATGTACTGACATACGAACAGTATGTATGACGAAAGTATGTACTTGCCTGCATGTCTGCCTTGGCTGTTGCCTGGCTCGTGACGTGCCTGTTCTACTTACACACTCCGTATCATAGGTACTTGGCCGAGGACTCGACGGTAGACGCGAGTCCTGGCTTTCCTTTCGGATTATACCAAGGAACAACTCTGTTGACGACCTCAAGTTCAAGTATAACTTCTTACTAGACGCCATACATTGACACCGGTTAAATAATAAGGAACTTTGTTATAATAACACTGTCCAACACGAATTTTAGACAAAAATCGTGTCTTTTTAGGAAAACTCACATTTCCACCTATCGAATATCGCAGATTAGAGAAAAAGTTAAAATTTGGTGGACAGTGTAATTTTGATGCTACCAAACAGTAGAGCAGTCTATGCTAATTTTAATGTAATGCGATATAAAATCTTGATGGCGTCGAACGAGTGGTTCCCTACAATAATTCTGTATCGCTCCTCTCCCGTAGAATTCGTCGACCCTGTGTTCACCATGACTAAACTTCGACTCTAAACGTGAGAGTTTAAACAACGGTCGGCACCCATTACAAGCTCGCCTATGGTGTACGCTTTCTCACAACGACGCGTACAAGTCGCATGCACTGATCTACGTAAATCACGTAACTCTTTCTCGTGCAATTTCAGGCAAGCTGCTGAACTGACGGAGAGAACATCGTCTGAGCAAGCAGCTGCTATCAAGGAACCGCTTGGTGCCGTGAACAAACGATGGGACGGACTACTCCGAGGTCTCGTGGAGAGACAGAGGCTATTGGAGAACGCGTTACTGCGTCTAGGGCAATTCCAACACGCTCTAGATGAGCTGCTAGTATGGATCGAGAAGACAGACGACACCCTGGACAACTTGAAAGCCGTGGCCGGTGATCCTCAAGTAATCGAAGTGGAACTAGCCAAACTGAAAGTACTTGTAAACGATATTCAAGCCCATCAAACGAGCGTAGACACTTTGAACGATGCTGGAAGACAGTTGATCGAGGATGGAAAAGGTACAGCCGAAGCTTCGACAACTGCAGAGAAATTGGGTACCTTGAATCGTCGTTGGCGCGATTTGTTGCAACGCGCTGCTGATCGTCAGAGAGAACTGGAAGATGCGCTCAGGGAAGCGCAGTCCTTCACTGCAGAGATTCAGGATCTCCTGTCTTGGCTTGGAGACGTAGACAATACCATAGTAGCGTCGAAACCGGTAGGAGGATTGCCAGAAACAGCTTCGGAACAGCTAGAACGCTTCATGGAAGTGTACAACGAACTGGAACAGAATCGTCCAAAGGTCGAGACGGTTCTTCAGCAAGGACAGGAGTACTTGAAACGCGCCGATTCTAGCAGTGCTGGTGGATTGAATCACAATCTGAGAACTTTGAAACAAAGATGGGATAACGTGACTGCTCGCGCTAGTGACAAGAAGATCAAGCTCGAAATTGCCCTGAAAGAGGCTACAGAGTTCCACGATGCACTCCAAGCGTTCGTCGACTGGTTAACTAACGCGGAAAAGATTCTAACGAATTTGAAACCTGTGTCGAGGGTAATGGAAACTATCCTCGGCCAAATAGAGGAACACAAAGCATTCCAGAAGGATGTTGGAGTTCATCGTGAAACTATGCTGAACCTCGATAAGAAGGGCACGCATTTAAAATACTTCTCGCAGAAACAGGATGTGATTCTAATCAAAAACTTGCTGATAAGCGTGCAACATAGGTGGGAACGGGTAGTCTCGAAATCTGCAGAGAGAACAAGGGCTCTAGACCATGGATACAAAGAAGCCAGAGAATTCCACGATGCTTGGTCCAATTTGATGAACTGGCTCGACGAAACGGAGAGAACTTTGGACGAGGTTGCTGGAGACGGTGGCCTCGGAGGAAATGACCCAGAGAAGATCAAGGCTAGACTCAACAAACATCGCGAGTTGCAGAAGGCTCTCAGTGCTAAACAAGGCACTTATGACACCACCATGAAGAATGGAAAATTATTGAAGGACAAAGCGCCAAAGAGCGACGAATCTGCTCTAAAAGAACTGCTAAACGAATTGAAGAACAAATGGACCACTGTCTGTGGCAAGTGCGTGGACAGGCAAAGGAAGCTCGAAGAAGCTTTGTTGTTCTCTGGACAATTCAAGGACGCTATTCAGGCATTATTGGAATGGCTCAGCAAATCTGAGAAGCAGCTGGCAAATACTGGACCCCTTCACGGCGATCTTGACACCGTGATGAATTTGGTTGAACAACATAAGACCTTTGAAAAAGATCTCGAATCCAGAGCCTCTCAGATGGAGTCTGTGATGAAAACAGGTCGGGAACTTCTTGGTAAATCGCCACCTGATGATGCCTCTGCTATTGGATCGCAGCTTGCTGAATTGAATAATCTTTGGGACACCGTGACTAGACTATCCTCTGACAAGACTGAACGACTCGAAGAAGCCCTCAAAGAAGCTGAACGTCTGCATAAGGCAGTTCACGTGCTTCTGGAGTGGCTAAGCGACGCTGAGATGAAACTAAGATTCGCTGGACAGTTACCGGAAGATGAACAGGAGAGCAGAAATCAGCTGATGGAGCACGAAAAGTTCTTACGTGAATTACGCACTAAGGAAGTCGAGAAAGATCAGACCTTAGAATTGGCTCACACGATTCTTGCGAAGGCACACCCTGATGGAGCTCTAGTTATCAAACATTGGATCACGATCATTCAATCGAGATGGGAGGAGGTTGCCACCTGGGCGCAGCAGAGGAATCAAAGACTGGAAAATCATATGCAAGGACTTCAGGTAAAAGGAGGCAGTCTTTACTGCCTTTTAGAAACATTGATTTCTCGACACACGTGAACTTTGTGAGCTTTATTTATCAATCTTGTCACCTTTTAGGATCTTGATAACCTCCTGGAGGAGTTGTTGTCGTGGTTAGAAGGATTGGAGAACACTCTGAACGCCCTAGAGGCTGAACCACTGCCAGATGACAAAGCTACGCTGGAAATGCTGATCGCGGACCACAGAGAATTTATGGAGAACACCAGTCGCAGACAGAACGAAGTCGATCGCGTTTGCAAAGCCAGACAGATCAAACCCGTAAAGGACACGAAGAAGATATCGAAGGCTAAGTCGCCTGCACCAACGTACGTTCACATTCCTTCTTCCTTTTCTTTTCTTGGTCTCTGTCTTTTTAGCAAGTTCAAACATCAAGATCGCCAAGGATCGCGCTCGTCGAAAATCATCGTTCGTTCGAGGTAGACGAAGTGAAAGATACTCGCCTATCTGCTTCTCGATATTCATTTGAACAACTAAACCGTACTCTCTCTTTTTCGTTCGTTTTCGTTTGCGTACGCTTTGTCGTTTGGAAATTACACTTGCCCGTGCATGTGTTGCGTTTTGTATTCTTGTCCAAGTTATACTCTTTTTTTTATCTTTTTTTTTTTTCTTCTGTGTGCGTTTCGAATAACGATTTCAAATAACGATCAAGAACGGACGTCTACGAGGACAGCTGGAACCGTCAGAAAGGTGCGTTCACGAGTAAAACGGGTTGTCGAAGTCTAATCGGTTCGTTGAATAGTAGCAGCATGGTATGTGATAGAACGTATCTTTGAATCCGAGGAAACTAGTACGAACACTCGAAGCGCATCCATGGCGTACATTCTTTAAACACGGGGAATAGGCCACTGTATTTATAAACGCAATTGTCGAGTTAACGTTATGTTTCTTTATTTCGTTGTTTAAATTGCTCCAAATAATGTTCCACGTGGCCTATTCCCCTCTTCTTTCTCTTTTCTTCCCGTTTGCTCGTCTCGTAAGGAAACTAGAGGATCGATCGGTTCACGAAACCGAGAGTTCTGCCACGCGAGTATTTGATAGAGAAGTGTCGAGTGATGTGACGCATGTTCCTGTTTAGCCGAGCCAGCCCAGGCCGTGAGAGAACACCCGATTCATTGCCGCACATCGGCCCACGGTTCCCACCTAAAGGAAGGTTCGTCACGCCCAGCCTTACTTCGATTCTTTCTAATCGTCCGAACATTGCTTTTGCCCCCTAACACATTTTCCCATTTATCTCTTCGTTTCTTTGCAGCTTTATCGGTCAAATCGATTCTCTTCTCGATGAACGAGTCCTCCCTCGTTTATTCTTCTATCTGCTCCTCTTTTTCTTTCGAATCTCTGCTCATTTCTCTTCTTGCTACTGTTAAGTTCCGAGGAATTATTTATGGTGGTTTATAAAGGTCGATTTTGGATGATTTATTTTATTATTCATAAAGTTCATTTGCTTCTCACGCTTTATTTGTGTAATTCTCCACGACGAGGAGCAGCGAGGGTGCTGATGCGATTTTGTGTCCGTCTATAGCAAAGGCGCCGAGCCGGAGTTCCGTAGCCCGAGGGTAAAACTCCTGTGGGACAGGTGGAGACATGTCTGGATGTTGGCATGGGAACGTCAACGTCGCCTGCAGGATAAGTATAATTACATTCAGGAATTGGACCGTGTTGCGAACTTCAGCTGGGAGGATTGGCGTAAGAGGGTAAGCATGCTCAATAATTGCAGTTAATTTATGTTTCTTTTATTCATCTTTCGTCAGAATTAATCGGTATTATCCCATCACCAGTTCCTGAAGTTCATGAACCACAAGAAATCTAGGCTGACGGATCTCTTCAGGAAGATGGACAAGAACAACGACGGCTTGATCCCTCGCGAGGACTTCATTCAAGGAATCATGAACACCAGTGCGTGCCTTTCTATCATCTTGCTAGATTTGTAAACAAACTTCAAGAATTTGAATGTCATAAATTTTATTTACAGAATTCGAGACATCACGATTGGAAATGGGAGCAGTCGCAGACTTGTTCGACCGCCATGGCGAAGGACTGATAGACTGGAAGGAGTTCATCGCAGCTTTGAGACCAGACTGGGAGGAACGTAGGACGTACAATGACACTGACAAGATCCACGACGAAGTGAAACGATTGGTCATGCTCTGTACTTGTCGCCAGAAATTCCGTGTGTTCCAAGTTGGCGAAGGGAAATACAGGGTACATACTTCACGATTTACGTACATCTCAGAGTTATGGTGACTCTGCTGTCCACGAAATTTGAATTGCAAAATTTGCCTGCTTTCCAGTTTGGCGACAGTCAAAAATTACGATTAGTACGAATTCTGCGATCGACCGTGATGGTACGAGTCGGTGGCGGATGGGTAGCCTTGGACGAATTTCTATTAAAAAATGATCCTTGCCGCGGTGAGTGTTTCTCCCATTTACTCTGTCTATTTCTCTTTTTCTCTACTCCGTTACCGCCGAATTATACCGTCGGAATCGATGAGTTCGGGTTTAGTCCAATTTTGAATGACTTTTTTTTGCTATAACAACGAGTCTTTACAAACAGAACTTTCAAACTTTCCTTCGACCGTTCCGTTTCGTCCCTGTTTGCCTTTGAACGCGACATAGATAGAACGGTTCTTGATCAAAAACGAAATTTCACCGTTTCCCAGACCCCTTGTCCCCATCCAAAGAGGCAGCTAAACGCGTTTATGTTATTTTTATCGACTAGAGACGTGTGATATTGAATTGATTGTCTTTTGTTTGTTTGGGATACGTTGACTAACGTTGTATGCTTCTTACCTTCAGTTTTATTGTTTGCGTTTCTTGTACTCCCACGGAACTAAACTCGTAAAACTTGAAGCAAAAGAGAAAAAGAATCGAACTCAGTCGCTTTCCGCTGCCTCGAGAATAAATACTTCTTCGTGTACGGTATTCGTTGACAAAAGTAAGAAGAATCGCGTAACAGTTGTGCCCGAAAAAGATTTCATTCATCAAATTGTCTCACTAACGAACCCTCATCGACTCTTCCCGCGCGATCATTCATTTCTCTTCATTGTGTCGCATTTCTTTTTTTATGCTATGTATTCACCTACATTTAGTATACGTGTACGATCTCAGCTCCTGAGGTACAAAGTGTGAGCGTGACTAATCATTAACCGACTCTAGACGAGTTTTTTAACACCGTATACATGAGCAGAAGAAGAAAGCGTGTGCTCGTTACTTGCGACCTCCGTCTCGCGTAACATCTATACCTGTATACTCGCTAGGTTTTCATTTCAGCTTGAACACTAACCACCACGAACGAATCTTCGTTCCACGAATTACTTTAACCTTTAGTTTTCTCTCCGTTTTTATCGTTCAAATTTTTGCTGGTTAGCCGTTCTGTTGTATTATGTTTTCTGCAAAAACAAGTTCGTGGAACACGATCGTTCGGTTGACTTACCATAGAGATCATAGTGTATCTTGGTACTTTAGGAGACTCGTATCGCTTGTCATTAGTACGTTACTAACGTCAACCGAATCATCCTCTGCCAATGTCTCTCACTCTCTTTCTCTCTCTCTCCCTCTTACCCTTCAATCAACAAAGTAACAATGTTCCATCTTGTTCCATTATCGAAACATCTCATTTTTTACGCACAATTTTGTCGACGTATCTTTTCGACATTGCGTGTACATTTTTAATTACGCATCGAGTTTATTCGATATTGCATGCCTTCATCCACTTTACATGAAAAAGAAGAAAAAAAAAAAGAAAAAATAAAATAAAATAGAAAACGGACCAACTAAACTCCTCAAATCGTAATTAACTCGTCAAGTTTTTCTAATGCCGATACCGGACCCTAACAAACCGGAACAACATGAGGGTTGGTGTCCGCTCGGTGAGAATCTTTTTATATGGGAATAATTGCAATTCGTGGTCCGTACGTTGTTTCTCTCCTTCATGTTCTTTATCTTTAGAAGAGAAGCTCCATTTTTGTCACTTTTTTTTCCAATTCGCTGAGAAACAGTATGGTAAATATTCACAGAGATTATTCCGCGTTCGTACTGACCACGAAATGAACGTTTTGGTCTATCCTGCATGGTACGTGTCTTGTTCGTGTACATACGTTTGCTTCCTCTCGCAACGAGTTCGAGTCTTGTTGTGTACTTTAGCTCGTTTCCGCGACTGTTTGTCGTATAGAAATTGTCGTGTGTGTGTGCAAAGTGGCATGCAAGACGATGTTCTGATTTCAAACCGTTCTAACAGTGGGTCTTAAATCGCATCCGTGTAGATCTCGCGTTTACCTCAGAATTAGTACCTTTCTCGATCATTTCTCCCCATCATTATTACACGACGGAACGTTGAAATCCGTTTATTGGACACCGTGTCCAATATTTTTAATTTTCTGCCATTTTTTCTCGTGTCGACAAGGAATCCCGTGTGTATCGAAACGTCTCGTTTATCCCTCACTTGGGCGTCGTCGTCGAAAGTCAACGCGTCTTGTTCCTATTTACTCGGGGTCTTTGATTAGGTTTCCGTGGCAGATAAATAAAGGAACTCGTCTTTGACGATTTGCGAGTGCTTTGAAATTAAGCAGACGGTTGACATTCGAGGTCGACGCGATTCGCATGCCGTCCCCACGTCGTTCGAATATTTTTCTCTCTTCAACAGCGTAATTAACGGGGAACCGTGATTAGATCAGCGTCAAATCAAAGCGGTTAACGCGTGAAACTTTACGATATCGATCGCAATCGACACGATTGTTCGTCCAGATTTTACCCTTAATTATCATTCAAACCCCTCGACTATCGTCGGACAAATATTCTATAATACACTGTACTTTTATTTCTTTTTTGTTCCACCGTACACTCGCACATGAACATACCGCGTGCGCCGCTATCATCGCCTCTCAACTATTACTACTACTGCTACTATCGCTACTTACTCTATTTACCCTGGCTATTACCGCTACGACAACCTAATACGTTCTCTACTAATCTTTATCTCTACTCCAACTTTCTCTCTGCACGACACCACAAACACCTCTCTACGATACAACTCGACTATAAATCGGCTCTTTGATCTATCGCTGTTGTTAACGCGCATGATTATTCGATAACGCCGCTGTAACTGTGCCCCTACCTGCGTATATCTGATCGCTTCACGTACTCTTGTATATCTTTGATCGCTCTGATTTGTACTATGTATTTCCTCTACTATTTCTCGGCTACCCGTTAATTATCCGCTCTCTGTCTCTCTCTCTCTATATATATATCGTTACCTGTCTCTGCCCTACTTCTCTCTGTCTCTTTCTCTGTTTCTCTCTCTATTTATCTCTCTGTCTATGTAAAAAAAAAACTACTCTTTGTACTTTGGCCCCGCGCCCCCTTTTCGACACCCTGCGATACATGTCCTGTAACGCCTTCCTTCTAACTTGCGTGCACGCAACACACTGTAGCCAAGGGAAGAACGAATATCGAGCTGCGAGAGCAATTCATATTGGCGGACGGCGTCAGCCAGACTATGACTGCGTTCAGATCGAAGCCGAGCCCGACCTCGACGCTGCAGCGTACGCAAATCTCATCCGCGAATGCCGGACCCATCACCAAGGTAACGTGTGTGTGTCACCATTCTCTCGTTCCCTCGGTGGATCTTCTAGATCGCGATTAACGAGCTTCCAAGCTGAGTCGTCACTCGTGAATCTACTCTCGGTTCGACTCTCAGCTTGAGGAATCTCGGGAATCGTGATCCAGGATCGATCCGGGAACCTTAAGGCCTCATTCGCGTAGGTATGCGAGAGCCACCGATACACGCGTGTCGAGGCAACGAATTTTTATCTTAATTCCAATGGATGGATAGTCTTATTATCCACGCTAGTTACACCTTTGCTAATTGCGTCGGCATTCGTGCACTCGAATCCGTAGTACCTGCGAGAACGAGGCCTAATACTCGTATATCTCTTTCTCTCCATCGAGTCGCGTGCTCGAGTCACCCCATGGAGGGTGATTTGCGTAAATATATGCAAACTGGACCGCTGGATCGTTCGTTGATCCGTTCAGCCGCCTGAAAGCCGATCGATGCTCCACGAGGAATGACGTTGTCGGAGTTTCCTTGGTTCGATATCGATCGCAACGATCGCACGCATCGTAGATCCTCCCTGTCGTCTCTCTGTCTCTTGACTTGTCTTGGCTTTGCCGGTCCTCTTTCTGTCTGGTCTTTTGCCTAGCTCGTTCAAACGACGATTCCATTTTCACTTAGGTAAGTACCAAGCAACCTGACCAAGGAAATCAGGGACTATTTTTTCTCCAATCCTCTGGACTTATTTTTTTATCCTCGCATGTTAGCATGCCAGCTTTCGAAACGGTAGCAATCGTCGCACATAGAGCTACCTTAGCCCAGCCACGCACCTCGAGGTAGTCGCTTTCAGTCATCCCTGTCCCTCATTCGGCTCCACTCCGAGCTCCCTTTCGGTTTTCAGCCCACGAAGTCCCCAACATGTCCCGGCCCTAGCCACGCTGATGCGCCTTCGAAATCGGGATTCAACGGATCGTGCCGTGAATCGAAACAGTCCTTGGCGCTTCATTCCGCCGAGGGAATACAGAGTACCTCACCTCAGGAGATGCGATTTCACGAGATTCTATTTCTTTGTTTTTCTTTTTTTTTTTTCTTCTTTTTTATTCTACAGTTTCTTTCCTCACTGTCTCTATCTCTGTTGAGAGTCTGTACGTTGTGCCCGACGTCGTCGTTGATTCGGGCGGCGTGCCCTGCGTCGCCGTAGTCTCCTCGACATCCGAGTGACCTGTTCACACGACGAAACGATTACAGAGTTTTTGATCGACAGACACGTTAGAGATATTTAAATGAAATTGCTAAAGAAAGTTTCAAGAGTTCGTAAAAGGATCGATCGGAAGCTCGAGTGTTCGTTCGATCGACGGACAAACGTGAGAAGACGGTGCTTCCGCCACATACGACCGGAGTATTCCTAAACTTTTCGTTTATGGTGTAGCGGAGGAGTTTATGAACCAGCTGACGCCGATTTTTGAGAGTTTGAGGCAAAAGGAGGATCTCCCGTGCTCGTATCCCCTCCACATGCACGCCCCCTCTTATCATTGGGTAAATAAGAAAACTCTGTCTACTCTTTTAATTTCTGCTGTCGATGGTGTGTGACACACATTGTATTACCCGATACAATTGATTAACAGTCTTATTTATTTCTATTGTATTCCTCATTGTTTCTGTTTTCTGTTTTTTTCTTTTTTTTTCCTTTTTTGTGCCTTTCTTTATTTTTTTGGGTGATAGTGATTTGTCTCCCTCGAGTGCGCTTATCACGTTCCCCGATATCGTATGACGACCGATTGGAACGTCTCGTTGTTCACGATCTCAACGCCCGGCAATATCGTACCGATCTCGCGATCCCAATACCAATTCCGGATCTCAATTTTTTTTTATTCTTACATTCGTTTCTTTTTTCTTTTTCTTTTTTTTTTTCTCTATTATTTGCGCTGCTGCTGTCGCTGCCGCTGCCCTCAGCATTCCCGCAATATCGTGCGTTCGATTCTCGTGACGATACGCGCGTACGTAAATGCGACGAAATATCCACTTCGACTCATGGCATCGTAGCTTTAACGAGGATCATCTGTGCATGCGGTAGAACTGGTAGTTTAGCTCGACGACCGTGCTCTTCACGGTTTCTAGGTACGTCGATTCGCGGGAAGATACTCGAAAGAGCAGCGCATGTATCTCGAGTCTCACTGAACGCGTAAAACGCATTTCGTTTTTAGTTCCGCAGTAGCTGTCGGGGTTTTACTCTCTCTCTCTCTCTCTCTCTCTCTCTCTTTCTGTCTTTCGTTTCCACGTTCGTCAGCCTGATTTGCCGTGACTGATTTCTCAAATTGGATGCCTCTGAACGATCTCCCCTCCCTCATAGGACGAACCGGGAACATTTCCTGCTCGTCCTGGACGATCAGTATCCTCGACATTTCTCACAGAAATGTAAAGAGTCCAAAGAAATTCGTTCGTATGGAGATCTTTTACGACACCCTGTAAGATTGGACGTCGAGGGTGCTGAACGTTGCAGAACGAAATTTTCACGCGAGACGCGGTTCGCGGATACGGTGAACTACTGTATCGATATGTGCATAACGATCTCCTGTATTGCTGTATTGGTGCGTGCATAGTGGCGTTGATCGGAGATACTTCGAATCACCATAAGCTACTCTATCTGTCCCAACTTCCTCTGGTAAGTTTGCATGGATCTCTTTTTCGTTAGACGTAAAAGTCGCTCTCTATCTCTGTCGAGCTACCACGGTGGTCTTTTTTTTCACTGGTCTCTTTTTTTTGTTTTTTCTATTCTTCTTCCTTCGATCGATCGATCGGTTTCTAGTTCGCAACGGTGGCGTTGAAAGGTTGTAAACGAACGACCGAGCAGCACCGCGAAAAGAAACGACCAAGTTTCTACGCGATATCGTCGATATAGAATCACGTGGCAGAAGGAAATTTGTAGTTATTGAAAAAGTAAAAGAATTTTCTTTAATCAAATTTTGTTAGCGCTTGCAGCCTGATATTGCTTCCTTCTGCCGCGAGATTCGACACGTATCGCTTCAACTAACAGCATCGACGCGTCGCACTCGCGCGTCGACCGGTTCAAACAATTCTCGCTGTTTGTCTATCTGTTTGTTTGTCTCTCTGTTTCTACCGCGTACTTGCCTCCTCTGGTAGAACGCATCTTTCTGTACCGTTTCCCGTCCGTGTTCATTTACCCGAGCTGAGCTTTCTGTCGCGTAGGTGAGGGAACGCAGCGCGCGAAGTGTTCCTATGGGACAATCGCGAGCATCGCGCTCCTCGCTGAGCGCTGGCACGCCGGACAGCCTCAGCGACAACGAGAGTTCCTTCAAGATTGGCTCCGCCAGGAAGACGAGTACTCCTTACAGAAGCACTATGACACCAGGTAAAAATATCTACGAAAATCATATTTTTATACATTTCTTACTTACTTCTTTTGGGAAACAATCCGTATTAGAATCCTAAATGTTTGAACGTTGGGTAATCGACTAACGTGAATTTTATTGCAGGTGGTAGTCGACCATCGAGTAGACCAACTTCGAGACCGACATCTAGACCAACCAGCAGACCTGGGAGTAGACCCGCCTCCAGACAAGGAAGCAAACCACCGAGTCGCTATGGCTCCACGCAGTCGTTAGATAGCACTGGTAGGGATTGGTGAAAAATCAGTAATAGAATAAATTACGTGAAATATTTATAACCTTCTCTTACACTTTCATCGCTTCCAGACGATTCGACCAATTTGAGCCGTATTCCACGCAGAACAGCGGTGAGCACGACGGGAAATACTCCCACCTCCAGCAGGCATAATAGCGTTTCAGGAAAGCGACTGGGAACGCCTGTGAACGGATCAAGTTCCCGACCCCGAACACCTACAGGCCTGGTTAGTCCTGCCAGTGGTGTTCCAGCGAGGTTCGTACCAATATCTCCTGTCTTCCCCGTGTGTTCATCTGAAAAAAAAAACATAAAAATTACCTGCGAACAACTAACTCGCATCTTGTCGAATCTAGATGATTTTGTCGCATCGTCAGTTCGTGGTATAGATATTAACGACGATCGTATGTATCGTAATCTTGGAATGATGTTGATCGACGTGTCGTGTGCAGGATACGATGTCCATTCTCCCGGCATTTTGATCACCCTTATCGTTTTGTTTTTCTTTATTTTGTTTCCTTTCCTTTTTTTTTTTTTCTTTTTTTTCCGTTGTCTTCTTATCGCCCATTCCTCGTCGAAGGAAATTCGCCAGGCAATCTAGAAAAAGAAAAACGCGATATTAGTACCATGCCTATTAACCATTCGGTTCTCACGTGTCAGTTAACGACGATTAACATAAATTTGGTTAATAACATTTTTTTAGGTTTGGCACAATCCATAGAGCTTCGAGCATTCCAACCCTGACTGGTGTCGGCACACCGATCAGGTAAACTAAATTAACGATTATCGAATCGACAATCAAAATTGGCTATTGGCTTTAGCTTCATCTATCACGTGGTACATAACGCTACTGTCATGGTGGATCGTTTATTTACGGTGCAATATGCCTCGAATCATCTAACCTCTCTTCCAAATTCATTTCTCTATCATACAATCAATGCTCGCGGCAGTGGTGGAGGTGATTTCATTATTTTTGTTTTATGTTGGAGTTTTCGGTTCCCTCAGTTTAATTGCTCGAGTTTTCGTTCGCGGTTTATTAAAGGGAAAAGAAAAATATTGACACCACTCGAAAATGCTGAAAGAGACGCGCAGTAGGTATTCGTGTGACAGTTGATTAAACTGATTAATTGGATGGTGATGGTTTAGCCGCTCAAGGATTCCCGTGTATGTGGGCACGGATATAAAATCCCCACAATCAACGACCAGCAATATTTCCACTCATTCTACGCAAAGCAACCACTCGACTGTTTCTACCGATTCTACCGGGTATGGCCGAACTCTTCTTTCCCGCTCTTATTAACACAAACTGTCTCGTCTTTTTATTTCTCTGTGCACTGTGTGTCATTTGCATGTACACTCGAGTATCATATTTTCGTTCTGTCCTTTGTTTAAGATTTGTTATTTTACGTTGCTATTATTTTCATTAGAAACGAGCTTTACGGTAACAATCGCATTGCTTCCCAATGAATGCACTCGTTCAACGAAAAGATCCGTATTTGACGATGAGCGATTGCGTATTGGTGAAAGTTACGTAGCTTCGATCGCAAACGTGCAAATTTCGATACGTTTGCCTTCGTTGTTCGTGCAATTAGCGCCAGGTTTGGTGATGCAGCTTCGCCTCATTAACGGCCATGTTTAACCGTGCACCGCTTCTGATCTATTTAATAATCCAGTATCGTATTTGTTTTCTAACACCATAGGAGCAGCTCGATGTATACAAATTCAGCAACTAACACTTCGTCGGCCGTTAAACAAGCTAGGTAATCATCGTTTCGGTTTTACTCGGTTTATACGTACTTTGGTTTGTCGCTTGTGTCGTTGTAATCACGCGACCGTGCCAAAAGAAAGCCGGACGGGCATAGCCAGTTTCAACACGCACCCGATACGACCAGGCTGCGTACTTTTCGTTCACGAGATCGATCGTTTCAAACGATTTCGATTATCGAACTGATCGTGTTCGATGCCAACCGTAAGAATCCACGTATAACGCGCGTTGCTGATTTTCTATAGAACAAGGACACCATCCAGCGGATCGAGCACACCACTGCCGCCATCTCTGAAGCTATCCAGGAAACCTTCAGGCGCCTCGGACACGTCCGTATCTACGACACCGGCCAGCCAGCGAAAAGGCAAACCTACACCGATCGATCAACGAGCGCCATTCCGATTGTAGTCACCGAACGTGTCATCGTAGTCACTGAAAGGCCAAACACTTCTCGAAACCGTGACCGTCGGCGATCAAATCGACGACCCGTCGACACTTAGGATATTCTAATATATAATAACGATTCAAGCACGGGGCCGCCATCCGAGAGAGTTGCCCATGTCGTTGCTAGCTTTCCCGCTGCTTCGGATAATTAATGCGATTGTTCGTTTCATGGCTAGTAATGGTCGTTGCATCGAGGCTGCTTCTCTCGGGGTCGACCGAATCGAGTGAAAGAGCTTAACACTATCGAAGTATTTTGTAAAAAGAAAAAAAAAAAAAAAAATGAAATGCATAGAAGCGCGAGGAGCTGATAAATGGACGCAATGGCAAAGCGGTCCAAAGAGAAAAATTATCGCGGAAGTGAACGTCGATTGTGTACGTAAAGAGGTCGCTGCGTATGATTCAGACGTTTGTTCCGCGGCCGAACGTATCGATTAACTCTTTCGTAATAAGTTTTCTTTACCGAAAAATAGCGATAACGGTTATTATTAATGTAATTGTAATTTTACGTTATCTATAGGACTAGGTTTTTACCGGTCGTAACACACGAGTAACGTTTCATGTCCGAGGAGAAAACATTCGTCGCCGTGGTGTATGCGTATTTACGAATCACGGAATTCGACGATACGGCGTACGCCTGATCCCGTGTCGCTGACTTTATTAATTCGGTCAATCTTTTCGTTGTTTCGTCTTCTTTTTTTCGGTCATCGTGTTTTTATTTCTTTTTTTAATTATTTTTCTCTGTCTCTCGTTTACTGATGGAGAAAGGGCCCTACGGGAAGAGCAAACGAAACTGAAATGAAATCAAGAAGAAATAGACGCGATGTATGTACATATTGCTCGAATCTCTGGGTCGGTGTCGCACCGGGAACCACTCCGCGAATAAGACAATTTCCTAAAGAAAAAGACACAAATTACGCTACACGCAACGATTGCCTTAGGTCTATCGCCGTAAACCGCTTCTGCGCGAATCGTACCTGCCTACCGAAGTGCACCGACGCACGGATGAACCGAAAGGGCCCTTGGAAGTGTCGGCCAAGCGAACGGAGAACGCGTTTAATGTGAAAATCATAGCCGCTTCGTCCAAGAAAAACAAAAAGAAAAAAAAAAAAAACGGCAGAAACCCGTTTATACTTGTCGGGCTTTATAAATGATGTATATCTATTTTGCGAAAGGCATTTCCGAGCGTTTTTCCCCTCTTTTTCTTCCCCTTTTTTTACGTTTTAGGATGCGATAATTAACGCGCGAGATAGCACGATTCGTACGATGATGCGATTAATCTATTAACTATTCTTAAATGTTAATCTCTGTTTTCGCTTTACTTGAAGGTTCTGTATCGTCGCTACTAATTGCAGTGGAAAAAAAATATACGCAAACGCACACGCATTTGACACCAAAAAAAAAAAGAAGATCAGAAAGTGAGAAAAATGATGAAACCTACACACTGAAACATCCTGTCCATTCGAACTAGATTCCTATAGAAAGAAAGGGGAACCTAGAAGCCATATAAAAAGTATCGTTTATTATAATAATTCGAATTCTTCATTCGCGGAACAAGTTGTATTTACAAATTAATACGCAAACTTAACAACAAATCTATATACAATAGTAACGGATTCATATAAACGAACTTATCTACGCGATGATAATCAATATCGCTTGATTTAGGTTTAACAAAATTAGTGCCGTAAAGTGTAGGACGGACCGAACGGAACGGACGATCTATCCAAAGAACTGCCTTCATTCGTGACAGCCAGACTATCCTCGCTCGAAGACTGCTCTATTCGTTCGACTCGTTATAAGACGTATAGATCAACGACTAAATTTACTTTCGTGAGAGTTTCTGAAGCCGGGCTTTCAATCCTGTAGCGCTTAGTTTTAGCTTTTCCACCTTGTTCTTATTTCCAAATTTCTTTCTCATCTCCTCCATTCTTTCTTTTCGTATTCGTTGTTGCTCCTTCTTCCAGATATCCTACGAAACCCACTATATAAATATCAGGAAATTCGGGCGAATAAAATATGATGAATGATGTACTTTGAAGTCCTGACAGAAGCCGAGCCAGAGGATAAAGAACGCGTTCGGATCAGCCGCGTCTAGGTTCGTTCCTTTGGGCGTATACTGGTAGAATTGCATCACAGCCTTGAATTTATTTTTCGCTTCGACCATAGCCTCCTGCTCGTTCGCTATTTCCGTTGCCGCTTCGCGGAAAAACGAGTTCATTTTCTCTTCGAACGGACCGGACGATTCGGGATCTGCTTCCACGACGATATTGCACTTTTCGGTGCAAACTACGATATAAAAGGTAAAAAGCGTATTACGTGAACGTGGGATGTAAGAAAAGAAGAAAAACTTACACCTCTGACAGATATTTACCCTGAAGCTCTTTCTTCAATCTCTCCAACTCGCCCGAGATATATTCAAAATTAATCGTCGATGCCGCCTCCATATCTGCCGGTTCCGGAACCGGTAAGGGCAAAGGTTCTTCGAAGTTGTGATCCTTCTCTTGAGCTAATCTTGCCCTAACGACGTAGTGGAGCAAAGTAATACCAGGTACATTCGACTTCACGTCCTTTAACTTTCCTAAAATCTCCAGACCGAACCCATCAGCCTGACCTCGCGTCCTGTTCCCGCCATTCATGTAGTTACCGAGCGTGAGGATCAACGCCATCACTTTCTTCAGAGAACTGGAGTTTCGTAAAAAATCGCAAGTGCTTCGTAAATTAGTTAATTTCGATGAAACAGTTGAGATCGCGTCTTGGAATTCAGCTTGAAACATTAGGCACGCTATCCTCTCCGAGAAATGATTTATACTGGAGAGTTTCTTGAGGAAAATTTCTGGTCGATCCAAAGGAACATCTGGATTACTTTCCTCAAAAAGCTTTATATCTTCCAGTTCCTTTTGAGTTGGCCTCTGTGAAGAATCACAGTTCGCATAATTTATTCCATAAAATCCAAAATGACAAACGAAATTTCGCCTGCAATATCTAAATACCTACGATTTCGTATATCTGTTGCAATGCCTCCAGATTAACAACGCTGGTATCCAAACTGTAAACCGCATTCTCAACTTCGCAGAAGTCTACATGCAAACTCTTCTCTAGAATACCTACGGTCCTGGATCGTTTCGAGTCGAGGATTTTGGCTGGCTGCATTTTAGACGGTTTCAAAGCTTCGTCCGCTTTTTTGACCGGTTTTCTGGCGGTCACCTGACGGGAGAACAGACCGGCGAACTCTTTCATGTCCAGATTTTTCTCTTCCTCTAGCTCCAACCATAGTGGAATCTATAAAGGTAACACGCGGCAACCTCGTACTTCTTCGTCTCCTTTCTATGTCGAAATTACCTGTGCGGGAGAGTCTGCAGCGTCGACGGAACCACGTTCTGTTGCTACTGCTGGCACCAAAATCCTGGTCCAATACAGCGGTTTCATAGGAACATCGGGGCAGAGCGCCTCCTTTCTCATACCTAAAGGAGGAAGATCGTTCTGATCATCGCGAAATCGCCAGTATGTCGCGCAGGCAAGTCCTGTCCTGTTACTCACACGCTCTGCTAGCTGGGTTCCAACCTCCGATTGGAGGTGCAGGTAAAGGACAAGGTCCCGGTGTTGGTCCATGGCTTCCTCCTGATAGAGCACCTGGCGGAGGCGGGGGTGGAGGAGGACCTCCAGGTATACCCATAGACGGTGGTGGCGGTGGAGGTGGTGGTCCGCCGAGAGTGCCACCCATGGACGGTGGTGGAGGCGGAGGTGGCGGTACGCCGATCAAAGGCGTGGGTGGCGGCGGTGGAGGTGGCGGAGCTGACGGTCCTCCGGTTAACACGCCGATCGAAGGTGTCGGAGGAGGAGGTGGCGGAGGTGGAGGAGGAGGAATCGAAGAACCTCCGTGTAATGCGCTGATGGAAGACGTGGATAAAAGTGGAGGTTGAGGTGGAGGCGGCGGAGGCGGCGGAGGTATGGAGTTATACAGAGATGCTTGTGATTGTAGCGGAGGCGGAGGTGGCGGTGGTGGCGGCGGCGGTGGTGGTATAGAATCCGCGTGTCTTCCAATCGACGGTGCAGGGGACGGAGGTGGCGGTGGTGGAGGAGGTGCAGGTGGTGCTACTTGTAACTCTCCTGTCATCGGCTGTAAAATTGGAGGTGGTAATGGAGGAGGTGGGGGTGGTGGTGGCACAGGTGGTAACGAAGTTATACTTCGTTGTGACGAAAACGATTGCGTAGGGGTGGGACATGCTGGTAGCGGCGGCGGTGGTGGTATGGAAAACGATGGCTGAGAGACGGCGGCCGTATTGTTTAGAGAACGATAGTCTAGAAAAGGCGAGGGTGGTGGAGGAGGTGGAGGAGGTGGTGGGGGTGGCGCACTCGAGAACGCAGGTGGGGAAGAAACTAGTTGTGGCAGTGGTGCGACAGGCGAAGTTAGGGTCAATGATAATCGACTAACTCGAGCCTGTGTCGCGTCGTTTCCAACACCTTTTGCGTCCTTCGGACCACTTGCAGCTGATGTCGTGGAAGTGGCGCTTGAAGACTGCTCTTGAGAGGTCGCATCCTGAACGATGTGCCTCTCAAGAGGTGAACAGAATGTTCCAGAACTTCTCCCTTTGGGGAAGTCTTCGGTACTTCCTTCCGGAAGAACTGCCGTGGGAGATGTTTGCGTAGATTTACCTTGAGTACTTCTGTCCACATTTTTCGCGAGTTCTCGAAGTCGTTCGAGTTCCCGTCTCAACGATTCCTTCTCCGAATCTCGTCGGTCTTTCAAGGAAACTTCTTCGGAAGTTAAACTAGCAGATATAGACGGCGTGTCTTTGCACTGAGCCTGATCTTCCTGAAACAAGTTACACGTTCGTTTACTGCGTTCGTGGGAACACGGTGTCTGACAATCCGAGAATACGAATAGACGTCTTACTGCGAACTCCTTGTTCCGAGCAACGCTTTCGATGGTAATCGATCCGATAATGCCATCCGACACGAACTTGGAGTAAATTCTGGACGCGAATTGTTCGACTTCGGTTTCCGTGAGTATCGACTTTAACTGCTCCGGTAGTGCCGAGATCAACGTACCGACGATCCGACGTTCTGAAAGATTAAAAGATCTTTAAATAACTTTCCCCGCTCTCTATTCGTTTCCCCATTCAATTCCGTGCAATCTCACCCGATCGTTCGTTTCGAAATCTAGCAAAACTCGAGGAAACGAGACAAACATCGAACCTGTGCAATCCTCACTGATCCAGTATTTAATGAATACTTCATTTCTGGCTTCCACGTTGTTCCCGCCTACGTCCGGCATTGGCTGTTCTTATCTGCACGTGACCGATCCCCGACTTTTCACGATTGCAAGATCAAGACATAACCGATTTCCACGAAAACTCGACGGAGACTCACAGTATTCGCGTTGCCGTTGTGCGTCGTCGTCTTTTGTCCCCGATTCTCACAATTATTCGGTAAAACGTCTCGCAGTATAATTAAACGTTGACCGCCTCTTTAACCTCTGACAGCGTCGAGATAATCGCCAATCGTGCAGTTAAACAATCTCCCTTTAATCGAAACATGCTCCATTCCGTTGAAACGACCTTGAAAACGCCACCTCGATAACTCGTGCTTCCAATATCATATCGAATAACCAAGAAAGAATTTTTTACGATGCTATGACGATACCATTGCACGACGATAGGACGCGTACGACTTCGGAAACACAAGCGCGAACGTGGCGAAATCCCGCCTCTTTGATAAAACATTATCGCGCCCCTTATCGAAATGGGAAATCTATTAGTCTCGACTGTGTATCATCGCGAGCAATTCGCAGAGCGTCTCTGCAAACAAACTTCTCAAACAACTCGTTTCCTAGCTGTTGAATAGAGGGATACAGAGCGTTTCAAAATATGCGACACGATTCTTACTTTAAGCAAATACGGTTATCTTCTCGTCGCCGATGCATCGTGATTTCCGTTAGATTCGCGCAAAGGAAGATCTACGGAGGGGGAAAGAGGCGAAATAATTACGTTCGACGAACGTGCCGCATGCTTTGAAACACCCTGTACCTCGTTTCTCATTCTCGTATTGGGGTCACCAGCGAGAAGAGATACGGTGTACGCTCACCGAAAAGAGGGGACATGGAAGACCGTTCGAGTTCATGATTCTTAGAGAGCGTCG